AAAAAAAAAAAAAAAAAAAAAAAAAAAAAAAACCAAACAAGCAAGCAAACAAAACCCAAAACAGAGTTTGCTGGGTCTGCTAACTCTCCTACCTTTATCCCAGCACTCACGAGACCAGGGTAGGAGGATCTCTAGGAGTTTGAGGCCAGCCTGGTCTACATGACTTCCAGCTAGCCAGGACTACATGGTGAGTTCCTGTCTCAAACAAAGAAAAAAACCATGGAAGTGCAACCTTCACTTTTTGAAAAGAAACTTTGGTCTAGGAAGATTATTCCATTTCAAGGCCACAGTTAACATACTTTTGGTTTTTTGGGGTGGGGAAGGAGGTGGGGTTATTATAGTGGCACACTCAGTTCAGGAGGAAGGATGAATAGTTGAGTCCAGCGTGGCATACATAGTATGGGAAAACCAAAACCAACCAGACAAGTGTGGACCCTAGAACCAATCCTACCCCCCCCACTCCGACCTCTTACCATGAATGATACTATCTAGCTGTGAGCTGGATGCTTCTGTTAGGTTAGCTCCCTTGGCTAGTGACTTCAGCTTCTTTGGTTGTTATTGGAGACAGACGTCCTCGGGTGGCTGTCCTGAGCATGCTCTGAAGACCAGGCTGACCTTGAGCTCAGAGGTCCACCTGCCTCAGCCTCCCAGGTAGTGGGATTAAAGGTGCTAGACCCCTTCCTTTTTAACAGGAGTATCTAGAAGCAGGCTGACTCTGGTAGGGCACCTGCATGTTTTGAAATCAGAGTGAAACTGCCTGACATGTTTCACTGTCGATGTATTCCCATTTTAGTTTCACAAGAGATTTTACTTCAGTTTTTTTTTTCTTTGAGACAGAATCTTACTGTGTAGACCTGGCTGATCTCAAGCTTAGTATGTAAGTAAGCTGGCTTAGGACTCAAGAACTCACACCTGCCTCTGCCTCCTTAATGTTGGAATTAAAGCAGTGTCCCATCACCTGAGTATTGTGTCTGTCTGTCTGTCTGTACAGAAATGCACTGAGCAGAGGACAAATGGGAGTCAACTCTCTTTCCATGTGGTCCCAGCTTGTTAAGCTAGGTGGCAGGTGCCCTGACCCACTAAGCAATCGACGTATTTTAGAGAAGCCACTACGTCTAGAGAATAGAGATTCATGTTTGTGATGCACCTTACTTTGAGACAGAGCCAATGTTGGCACAAGCCTTAAACTACCTAAGTGCAGGGGTTCTTGGCATGTACATCTAATGGCACTGTTCAGTGTATCCTGCCGACGGCAGGCATCTGTGTGTCCCTCTAGGTGGCTTCATTCATCTTAGGGTCCTGCTAGACTTCCTGCCGATTCACTCTGATCAGCTGTGTTCTCTTGCATGCACCCATGCTACATCTGGTAAAACGTCCGTCTCCCCCACCCCCCATCCAGTTATTTCTTGTCTATCCTTTGCCAGTGACATCAGTGATTCCTGAGTACATGCTTCTCACTGAAGCAGGATCTGGGACACTTTAAAGTATGTTGTGTATGTGTGTGCAGTGCCCTTAAAGAAAGCATCAGATCCTCTGGAACTGGAGTTACATAGGCCGTTGTGAGTCACCATGTAGGTGCTGGGAACCGAACCCGAGCCCTCTGGAAGAGCAGCAAGAGTAGCCAGTGCACCTAACCACTGAGCCATCTCTCCAGCCCAGATTTAATGCAGGTGTAGCATAGTTGCCCTTTCGCTTACTTCACCAAAATTAATCCACTCATACTAATTATCCAAAAGTTTGCTAGTCAAGCCAGGGAATAATCACCGCTTACCTCGGTGCTCAGGAGGCCCCACACACTGCAGACAGCTCTTTGGTTTACTTTTACCACAGCACCCCTACTTGGGGACGGTGACCACAGCGAAGACTGTTTGCTCCCCTCCAGCCTCCTTGTTGACCCTGTCTCTCTGTGCTCGGGAAGCCTCAGTCCCCTCAAAGTGGAACTCCGACCTTTGGCTTTTGCAGATGTCTCTACCTGAGATCTGACCATGTAGCCGAAGGCAACTGCACTGAAGAACTCCTACAGAATTCCCGTCACGTCGTGGAGGAGTATTTTGTGGCCCCGCCAGGTATGTGTTACCCAGGGAAGTTCAACAGAGCAGTTCCGACCTTCTCGCTGAAGACAGAAGGATCGGCTGTACATGGGTGGTGGCGTTAGGACGGTGTCAGGAGCCACACTCCCCTTGGGAGTCAGCAGTGAAGGGCCATGGTGTTTGTGCAGCAGACAGCACCTGCTGGGCTGGAACCCTGTCTACAGGAACAGCTGCCATCCCTGGTGCTCTGCTGGTGCCAGAGGAACCCGAGCCCATCTGCTTGGAGAACTGAAATGTATGACATTTTGTCTGCTATTTCCTCCACTTGTCTTGGCAACCAATTCAAATAAGAAAACTTCACGTGTCCCATAGGCCAGCTGAAACATGCCTATAAGCCTATGTATCTTAGCCATGGTTTGTAATCCCTGGTACAGCAGCAGCTTACATCTCCACCCTCACTGTACACACTTAAAATGGAAGCTGGGGCAGCTTGACCTTTTCTCTCCTGTGCACGTGTCCTCAGCTCCACATCAGACACCAAGACCAGGTAGTTAACAAATAAACAAAGCTTTGGCTAACTACACTAACAGACTTAGGGGTTAAACTTTTTTCTATCCTTTTTTTTTTTTTTGGTTTTTCAAGACAGGGTTTCTCTATACAACAGCTCTGGCTGTCCTGAAACTTGTAGCCCAGGCTGGCCTCGAACTCACAGAGATCCACCAGCCTCTGCTTCCTGAGTGCTGGGAATAAAGGTGTGTGCCACCGCTGCCCGTGGGTTAAACCATATTTGCCTCAGCTAGCTAAAGAGAAAAGACGGATCTACAGCCTTGCCATCTCAGGGCCCAGCAGCTGCTACCTCATTAGATCGATACTGACCACAGAGATAGAACCTGCTACAGACATGCACGCTAGGCACAGAGGTCCAGTCTTAGTCTCCCACTCCTTCCTGCATATGTGGTGGTTATGTACAGCTTCCTCTATGCACTGCAAAGTGTGGATCTGGCGTCAGTTTGAACTGTTACTGATACGTGAGAGTTGGAAAAAGGATGGCATTAATACCTACTTCCACTGTTTTCCATGGAAACCAAGTGACCTTTAGTTTAGGAGGGCCAGCTGGACAGCAGGCTCAACTCTAATACTCTTTCTTGTTTTCAAACAGGTAATATTCCTTTGCCAGACATGGTAAACAAGATCCCTTCTCCCACAGCAGAGTAGCTATTCTGGGAAAGGGGAACCCTATCAAGATGGTGGACTCACAAAGGTGGTCATTTACTACTGTGAATTCTGGTGTAAACTGGACATTTATGACTTCTTGGTAGCTGTTCCGAGGACAGAAATGGAAAACACCCAGCAATAGACCACCACAAGCCTGCTTCAAAGGAAATGGATCAAGTACTCACAGGCTGTTGTGTGTGGAAAACATCCTCCTGCATCTCCTAAAACCACTATCAGAATATATCTATGTGAACTCTTCTGTTCATGCTTAGGGGAGAGGTCGCCCATGACCAGGTGACAACTTATTTTAGTTTCTTTTTCACTGACTTGAGCAGCCAACCACCTTCATTTGTGCCTGGTCCCTACTTTATTCCTACCAGAGGGGTCATTTTATGGAAAGGTTTGTGTAGCACCAAAGTAAATTCCAGCCTGGGAACTCCTAATTTAGAATCATCTTCCTTTCTCAGAAGGTAGGGCTACCCCTCCCCCAACACACAGTGTCTGTGAACACCTCCCCCCCCCCCCCTCCTTTCTGAAAAGAGAACTTGTTAAAAATAGCA